TTCGAGGGGCTGAATCCCTCCGCCTCCCCCCCCCTGGGCCGTACCCTGAGGCCGCCACCCGTGGTTGCCAATTTGGAGACCCCTGGTCAACCGCCTCTGACATCCGGGGGCCGTGCCCTTGATGGCCGATCACCCCCTTCAGCCCAGAGTGGGTCTGAAGGTCCGCCCCCTCCACGAGAGTGCCTCCAGGAAGGTCATGCAGTCCGTAGCCTGAGGCCGACCCCTGCAGCTCCTCCGCGCACCGCAGCCCCAGCTCCGCGCAACCAGCGGCCGCTGCCGTTCCGCGCCCTGGCCGCGTCTGACCCTCTTGGCTTGGGCAGCCGTCAGCTCCCCAGTAGTCGCGGACTCCCAAGGCACGGGCAGCCTGCTCGTCGGCCTCGTACAACTCGTTGCAGTCGGCCACCCCATTGCAACTGCTGCCCGCCATGGCTCCTGCACTGCCCTCAAGCCGAAGTGCGCGCCCGCTTGGGCGGCAGCAGGTCCAAGTCGTCGTAGAACCGCTTGAAGGCTTCACGCACATCATCGTCAGCAGGACGATCAGTGCCCTCGACCCCAGCTGGGGCAGCCCCCACCTTCGTGAGGAAGTTGAGCTGCGTGTCGACGTCCAGCTCCTCGTCGCCCATGGCATCTCCGCCTGCAGGGGCTCCTTCCCCAGGGATCGGGGCACGCACCCGCTCGGCCGCCTTGGCTGCTGCCGCTGCAGCCTCGGCAGCCCTGGCCTCTCGGCGCTGCTGCTCGACCTTGGTCGCCTGCTCCAGCAGCGACGCATGCAGAGCCCCTTCGATCCCGATCGAGCCCAACACCTTGCCCAGGAAGTTGGCGGAGACCTTGAGGCCTCGACCTCGAGATCCCCCTCCATGCCGCTGCGCAGCTCAGAAGGAGGCTGAGCCAACTTGCCCAGCGTGCGAGCCTGCTCCGCCCTGAGCTCGGCCAGCTTCGCCCCCCTCTCGGCGTCCGCCAGGCGCAGCGCTTCGGCCTTGGCGTCAAGCTCCTTCTGCTGCGCCGCCACTGCCACCATCTCCCCGCGGCCCTTATCCTGCTGCTTCTCCGGCTTCTTGATCTGGTCCGTGAGGCTCTTGAGCGGCACGTCCTTGGGCTTAGCCTGGAAGACCTCCTGGCGCAGCTGATCTCGCTCCGCCTCGAGCTTGGCCTTCCTGCTGCGGGCGGCCTCCACGAAGTCGCCCCCCTCGTCCTCCATGTCCGCCCAGCGCCGAATCTCGCCCAGCTGCTTGTCCAGCTGCTCCAAGCGCTGGCGCTTCTCGCCCCCCGCCGCTGCGTCTTCTCGCCAGGGGGGCGTGCCTCCTCCAGGCGCGGAGCTTCCTCCCGCTCCAGGCTGGGCCGCCGCCGCCTTGAGCCTCTTGAGCTCGTCCAGCGCCTGGGCGAGCTTGACCTCGGCGTTGCTCCGCGAAGGCGCAGCCTGCGCCGGCCCCCCCCCGAAGTGGGAACTCTTCGGCATGTTGCATCACTTGCGCTGCATGCGGTCCCCGAAGTTGAGCTTCCTGAAGCCCCTGGCGCCTGGCGTACTGCACGACTGGCAGTGCCAGGGGCTCTCGGCAGCTGCCTTGGCCGCTGCCCCAGACTCGCCACTGCGGGGCCCGCCGCCAGGCCCCCCTGACTCCCCTGACTTGCCGCCGCCGCCTCCGCCGCGCGCCCCGCCGCCAGAGCTGCCCCCAGCCATGGCGCCCCCAGCGCAGCAAGGAGACAAAGCGCGGCCGCCGCCCGCCGCGGCCGCGAGCGCTGGCAAGGAACTTGCAAAGAGTCCTGGCCCAAAGCGCGAGACCCCTCGCGCTCAGGAAACGCCCGCGAGGGACTCGCGGTCGTCGGGTGTCTCATGGCCTTGAGCCAAAATGGCTACGGATTCTCTCTCTCTCTCTCTCTCTCTCTCTCTCTCTCTCTCTCTCCTCTCTCTCTCTCTCTCTCCTCTTTCTCTCTCTCTCTCTCTCTCTCCCTTTTGTTCTCTCTCTCTCTCCTCTCTCTCTCTTTTCTCTCTCTCTCCTCTCTCTCTCTCTCTCTCTCTTCTCTCTCTCTCTCTCTCTCTGTTCTTTCCTTTCTTTCTCTCTCTCTCTCTCTCTCTCTTTCTTTATCTCTCTTTTTTTTTCTCTCTCTCTCTCTCTCTCTCTCTCTCTCTTTTTTTCGTCATCCCTCTCTCTCTCTCTTCTCTCTCTCTCCCTCTCTCTCTCTTTCTCGTTCTCTTTCTCTTTCTCTTTCTCTTTATCTTTGCATTTATCTTCCTCTTTCTCTTTCTCTTTCTCTTTCTCTTTCTCTGTCTCTTTCTCTTTCTCTTTCTCCTTCTCTTTCTTTCTTTGTTTCTTTCTCTCTCTCTTTCTCTCTCTCTTTCTCTCTCTCTTTCTCTCTCTCTTCTCTCTCTCTCTCTCTCTCTCTCTCTCTCTCTCTCTCTCTCTCTCTCTCTCTCTCTCTCTCTCTCTCTCTCTCTCTCTCTCTCTCTCCTCTCTCTCTCTCTCTCTCTCTCTCTCTCTCTCTCTCTCTCTCTCTCTCTCTCCTCTCTCTCTCTCCTCTCTCTCTCTCTCTCTCTCTCTCTCTCTCTCTCTCTCTCTCTCTCTCTCTCTCTCTCTCTCTCTCTCTCTCTCTCTCTCTCTCTCTTTCCCCCCCCCCCCCTCCCTCTCTGGTTTTCTCCGTTGCGGGGCTGGGCGGGCAGGTCGCGTAGGTGGTTTGATTGCGCCTCTCTGTTCCGCCCTGGAGCTGCGAGAACAGCACCTGCCACGCCCAACGTTCGGCGAGGAAACGCCCCCCCCCCCCCTCCTCGCCCACCCCTGCCCGGGGGCGCGCCGGCCCGGGCCAGTCGGGCTGTGCAAAATCCTGCGCGCTAGCCCAGTTTGGTGCAACCCTAACTAGCGACAGTCGGCAACGACGCCTTCTGCCGCGAGCACACCCAGCAACGAGTCGACACGGCCACCGAGCTCCTCGACGCGCTCGGCGCTCTGGAGAACGCCCACCTGCTGCGACAGTGCGCCGGCGTCTGCAGGCTGATCATCTCAGCGCGGGTTGCTCCGCCCAACGTGCACGCGGAAGCCCTGATTGCCTTCGACAAAGCAATCCGGGCCAGCCTGGAGCTGCTGAGCAACAGCTGCCCGACGGACGACTTCTGGGCTCGAGCGCAGCTCGTCCTCAAGGCAGGCGGCCTGGGGCTGCGCTCAGCGGAGAGCCACGCGCCCGCCGCCTACCTAGCTTCCCGCGCGGTTTGCTCTGCGCTCTGCCGGCAGCTGTGGGCTGGCGATTCCGACGACGACACTGGCGCCGACGGCGCTTTGAGCACTGCCGTGGCGTCCTGTAACGCCCAGCTGCCGCGGGCGGGGAAGATCGAGTTCGACGCTGGCCGGCACGGCGACCAGCGGGGCCTCTCTGACAAACTCGACAAAGCCGCCACGGCCGAACTCTGGGCGCGCGCCAGCCTCGCCACCAGGGCCCACCTCTCGCTGGTCAGCCCCGAAGGCGCTCGCAGAGGTCGCCAGCCTCGCCACCGCGGCCTAACGCAGGTCGCCTTGCAGATGCGGCTGCGGGCGCTGGGGGACGAGGGGGCTTTCTGCCCAGCCTGCGACGGCATCCTCGACGTATATGGGGACCGCGCGCTGGTGTGCCCCTGCCGCGGAGACCGCGTGAAGCGGCACAGCGCCTTGCGCGACCAGATTTTCTTCGCCGCGCAGGCCGCTGGCGTCCCTGACGCCGAGCTCGAGCGACAGGGCTTGCTGCAGCCCCGCCTGCGGGGCGAGGGCCCCCCCGAGACGGAAGACGGCGGTGGGCTCGACGAGGGCGCCCCGCGCCCAGCAGATGTGTACATCCTCCGTTGGCGCAGCGGCGTCCCGGCCGCTTTGGGTTTCGCAGTCACCTCCGGCTGCGGGGGGACCAGCTAGCTGCCTCAGCCGCCGCGCCCGGCGCCGCCGCCGAGTTCTACGAGGAGCAGAAGCGCCAGTTTCTCGACACGGCGCGCAGCTGCCGCGCGGCAGGCGTCACCTTCATTCCGATGGCGATGGAGGCGCACGGTGGCGCATGTGGGAAGGAGGCGCGCCGCGCGTTGGCCGCCCTGGCGAAGCGCGCGGCGGACGCCACTGGGGAAGACCCTGCGCAGGCGGCGGCGGAACACGCCCAGCGACTCTCGCTACTCCTGCACAAGGAGAATGCGCGGGCCGTGCTCCGCCGTCTGCAGGCGCCACGCGGGGCGCCCGCGGCCAGGCTGGCCGCGGCGACAGCGGCGCAGGCGGCGGACGCCGCGTGGGCGGCCCCAGGCCAACCCTCCGCCCCTGACCAACCCCATCCCCTTTCCAGCCCGCGATGACCACGCGCCCCCCGACGACTCACGTCGACACCCAGTCCCGCGAAGACCCCCGACGACCCCCCTACCGCCGCCGCCGACCTTCGTCCCTTCCCCCGCCCCCCGCCCGCCTCCAACGTGCTTGCTTGCTGCTGCCTTTGCCGTCCCCCTCTCCTCCTGCATGCTCGCGTTTGCTCGCCTTGTGTTTCGCCCTCCTCCTCTTCCTCCTATTCCTATTCCTATTCCTATTCCTATTCCTATTCCTATTCCTATTCCTATTCCTCCTCCTCCTCAGATTCCTACTCCTCCTTGTCCTCCTCCTCCTCTTCCTCCTCCTTAGTGTGGTGTCGCGCTGCCAGTCCTGAACAGCTGGCTGGGCGCTCCGCCTGTGGTATCTCTGCGAAGGTGCATGTGGCAGCAGGCTGGCCATTCGGGCTGCTCGATTTTAACATTGTGCTCTGAGGTGCCCCGACTTGGGCGGTCTCGTCTGGGATGATGGGTGCGTTTGCAAGCATGCTGTAGTGTTGCCCGCGAGAACTGTTTTCAAAGCTGTGGACTCACCGCATGTCTTGCTCAGCTCTGCAGGATCCTGGAATACTGTCCGGCGCTCTGGCTGACCCCCGTTTGCGTTGACAACCGCTTGAGGCTCCCGACATCCCTCCTGCCCCTGCCGTCTGACCACACACCCCTCGCGCCCTCGGCCGCGCGTCGCCCGGATGCCAGGTCACGGGTCCTCGGCGCGCCGTACCCGGCGTGCTCGTGCCGGAAGGCGTACGGCCTGGCGGCAGCCCGTGCGCGGCCAGCCATCGTCGTGGTCCTCAGCCTGGTCATGGTCCTGGTCGTCCTCCTGATGGTCGTCCGTTTCCTCCTCCTCCTCCTCCTCCTCATCACCATCATCCTCCTCCTCTTCCTTCTCCTCCTCCTCCTCCCCCCTGATCCTCCTCCTCCTTTTGCGTTGCTCGGACATTAGGAACTTCCTCCTCCTCCTTCTCCTCCTCCTCCTCCTCCTCCTCCTTCTCCTCATCGTCCTCCGTCTCTTTCTCCATGGTCCTCCTCCTCCCTCTCTCTCTCTCCCTGTTCTGCCTCTCGTGCTCCCGCTGCTGCTATCACACGTGCTCCAGTCGACGCAAAAACCACAACTACCTGCACACTGCTACCACTGCTACGGCTTCTGCCTCCAATATGTTCGTTTCATATTGCAATGTAGGGAAATAAACAAATCCCTTGGCGCATGCACGCTCACGAAGCACCGAGGATGAGGGCGAGCCAGAGCCGAGGAATAACAGTGGATGGGACACAGCCGAGGGGATGGGAATAAGAAGAAGGGGAGAATCCGGCACCCCCGAGGAGCCTCTGCCTAGCTCCCTCCACGCAACGCCTCGACATCCAGACCCGCCCTCAAGCCGAACCTGACAGCCTGACAGCGGCGGTGTCGCGACCAATTGAGGGCCGGTTCGCCTGCTGACCATGGGGGACATCAGAAGGGGGAGGTCGCACGTGGGAGCGGAAATCCTTGCCATACATCTCGGGCCGCAAGCATCCTGGAGAGTCGGACTGCCTCGATACACGCAGCAACGGCGCTCTCGCACCAAAGCCTGGCTTGGCCGACCCCCCCTGCGCTGACTTGCGCGGAGGGGTGGGGGGGGTTGGGGGTGGGTGGAGGGGGTGGGCAAAACGCGACATGCAGCGGCCCCCTCGCTGTCTGAGCGCGCACTGCGACGCCAGCTGCCCAGCCCAACCCAAGGCGGCCAGTGGCAAAGCTCTGACATCCAAAACACGCCAAGAGCAACAGAACACTCGAACACTTACAGATCCGACAGCGTCGGTCACTCCCCTATCTTGCATCGCTTCCGTTCCTTTTACCCCTGATCCCCTCTCTCACCTCCTGGCCTGGGCCATCGACTGCCACGGCGGGCGCGATGAGTCCCCAGGCTCCACGTGCGGGGCCATGTCCACGGCCACGTGCTGATGCCGCCCAGTGGGCTCGCCCGCCCGAATTGTCAGGCCAGCGAGCAGCCCCCGCTTGAGCTGCAGCGGACATTCTTCATCGTTCAAGGGGAAGGCTCCGTCTCCTCGTTATGGTGACGCCCGCAAGAGTCCCCCCATCCAGTCTGCGGTGACACGCCAACTGGGGCAATCTTAAAAACGTGCTCCCGGACCCTGAACTCTTGAACTATGTTACATCTATGCTACGTCTCCGCTTCGGTCGCGGCTGGGCTGGGGGGTCAGGGGAGGGGGGGGGGTCTCGGCCAGGCCCCTGGGCGCCTCCTGTGAGCGCCCCCCGTCAGACCCACTGGCCTTGCCGGACTTGCCCATCTGAAGGCCTACAATCTTATCGCGCTCGTGATCGAACTCGCTCTCACCGCTAGTGCGCGAGACGCTCGCGCCATCGAAGAGCTCTACCTCTCTTGACAAGCAGGACGCCATCTTCAAGATCGCAGAGGCAAAACCACGGCACTGGGCTGGAGAAGCATGCTCTTCCCAAGAAAGGAGGGCACCGGCGAACGCAGTGCGCGCAGGCAGAGACGAAAAAGGAAAGGACAAGGACAAGGACAAAAGGAGGCCAAATTGGCGGCAAAGGCAAGGACCAGCAAGTTTGGATCCCATGTTCGATCCACCTTAGCGGATATTGCCGCTGGGTTACCGACTGCAAGTTCTCCCACGCTGCTAACGACCCAAAAGCGCCACTAGCACGAGACGTGTGCCACATCTGCAGTCAACCTGGACATTGGTGCAACGAACGCCGCTAAAAGAACTCTGAGGTGGGGCCCGGAGCAGGAACCGGAAAGCCTGGGGTGGGGCACAGACCAAAAGGGAAGCAAGGCGACGCCAACAACAAATGAAAAAGCACAGGAGAAGGATGGGGCGCCGCGCCGCTATGCCCACATCCGCAACTCCTGGTCTCGAGACCGAGGAGAGCCAGAACCGCAGCAGGATCGGAGCCTGCGCGCTGGCCACAGAGGCAGCCGGATCAGAACTGACGCCAGCACCACAGCAGTCCGCGGCAAGCATGGCAACTTTTACCCAGATGGCACAGCAATTGATGAACGAACGGAAGACCACCTACAAAAACAGTCAAGGACATCCTAGAGCGCGTCTCCGGACAGATGCTCCGAGTCTCTACTCCCAACCTCACCCTAGGGATCAACACCACCTCTTCGGATTCACATTTGGCGATGGCGGCACAGTCAGGTGTTGAAAGCCACGTGTTTGCAAGCAAGGACTTCAGGCACGCCAAAAACATCCGCGAGCTCGAGGCACCTCTCATCCTTGAGACGGCAAGCGGGGAGATGACCGTTACGGACCAGTGCGACGTCGTGTGCGGAGGCGTCCTTCTCCTAGACGTCCTGATGTGCAAGACAGCTACGTCTCCACTTCTACGCGCGCGCTCCCGCGGAAATAGCATAAGGATGACGTGGAGAAGAAGCACATCCTCCCCCGCATGCTGTTGATGCTCCTCCCTCCTCTCCCCTCCTGCTCCTCAGCGTCCTCTTCCTCTCCAACCGCCCTGTCCGTCCTCCTCTTCATCCTCCCCGTCCTGCTGTAGACCATGCTCCGCTTGTTCAGCTTTCGCCACGCCCGAACACAACCTAGTTGGGAAATGTCTGCGTAAACCTACACACACCTGCGGAAACAAGATATAATCACCAAACTTGGCCAGCCACTCTTAGTCAGGCTCCCAAGTAGCAGTGTTCTCGATTCTCCGCGTGGCAGCGCGGATGGGCGGAGAACGCACTACCCTTCGACATTCGACACGTGGGTCCACCACTAGAAAAACAAACAACTCTGATATACTCCGCCCTTGGCAGCGCACTGCTCGGAACAAAGCAGTAGTGAACTCTACACGTCACGCGACAACGCAGGAAGAGCAAACGAATCGTATCATTACGTCGGCCCTAAAATTCTACACGAAAAAAACAACGCATGTATGACCTGTGCGACGGGCGGCGGGAACGATCACGACAGACGAGGACGAGGAACAACAACAAAAGACAGAGACACCTATAAGGATGAAGCAGTGCGAACGGGAACGCGCAGTGTCATCCTCCTCCTCCTTCTCCTCCTCTTCTTGTTCCACATCCCCATCCACCACTTCATCTCTCTCTCTCTCTCTCTCTCTCTCTCTCTCTCTCTCTCTCTCTATATATATATATATATATATATATATATATATCTGTCGTATTCCTCGCTCTCTCGCTCTCTCTCTCTCTCTCTTTCTCTCGCTCTCCCTCTCCATTTCCCCTTCCCCTCCCCTCCCTGTTCCTCCGCTCCTCCATTCCTCCATCACCTCCCTCTCGTCCGTCCCTTGTTCGCCCTTGTCCATAACACCTCCCTGTCGCACCCCCAGGCGTGCCCGTATGGCGGGCTGGGCATTGCGCGTGGAACTCCCTCACCACGTCTGATCATTTCGACTGGGCTTTGCAAAAATTGCAAGGATGGAGCACGGGTGATTTTAAAAGGTTCGTTCCCGCCCAAGCGCAACGCACATTCGTCAAACAATTGTGCAACAGCGCTCCGGATGGACGAGTTTCTTTTCAAAATGTGACCCTCGCCTTAACACCGCGCACACTCGCTTTCACATTTCGACGCAGTTGCGAAGATCACGCGCCGGCGGGATTCAGCATGTGGCTTCGCCTCAGCGCAGCGCACACCCGTCTGAAACGGGTCTCGGTTTAGCGCCGAGTGCATGCGTCTTTGCAGCAGCTTCAAGGATGGGGGGCGGCTCCTTGTCAAACTGTGGATCTTCAGACAGCGCCACGCACATGCGCCTTACATGTGTCGCAACACTTTCAAGAATGGACGGGGGTGTTTTCGGAACTTGTCTCTCGCATTAGCGCCTCGTAGATTTGTCTTCACAATTTGCATAAGTTTCAAAGATGAGAGGGGGGCGATTCAAACGAACTGCACCGCGCACGTTCGCCGCAACATCTTGCAATAGCTTCAACGATGGAGGGCGGTTCCTTTTTTCAAAACATGGTCACTCGCCTTAGCGCCGAGCACCTCCGTCTCAACATATCGCGTTCAAGTTGGGGTTCTCGCCCAAGCGTCGCCCACCAGCGCCGGTCTTCAAGGGGCGCGCTTCTTATACTGAAAAAGCAGAGGCGAAAGCGTCAAATGGGGATCCCCCGCTGCAGTACCCAGGCGGAAAACCGTGGGTCACGCCCGGAGGCCGCGAGGAGGACATGCACTACCACGCCCATATCCTCATTGACGTCCACCACCTCATCCTCCCACACCCTCCGCAACAAGCACCTACTCGTGCACCTTCTCGAGCAGCGCCACCCTAGCATCCCCCTCCCCATCGTCCTCCTCCTCCTGGCCATCCTGGTCTTCCTCCTCTTCCTCGTTCTGCTGCTCCTCCTCCTCATCCTCCTCGTCCTGCTGCTCCTCCTCCTGCCTTACCTCCTCCTCGTCCTCCCCCCCATCCTCCTCCTCCACCTGCTCCTGCACCAGATCATGAATAAGACGCGGCAGGCTGCGTGAATAAGACGGCGCCGATGCACCAACATCCGCGGGCAGCTTGCGCGCGGGTGAACGCGCAATCGATCCCCGCGGCATCGCCCCCCCCCAAGTTCAAACCAGGCGGTGCAACGGACCGCTTCTGTCAAAGCCTCGTTTCCCCCCTCGGGGGCGGTTAACCCACCTATCCCGCTAGCAGACCGTGGAGGCCTTGGATAAGGAATCCAGTGTCTGGAACCTTGTGGAGATCCACTTGCGTGGAACGGGGGGGGGGGCAGAAGTTGTCCGCCCAAAATCATTGTGAGCTCTCTACCCTCC